GCGTAATAACATTTATAATGTATCAGAAATTTAGTTTTTTGTTTAACATTTACGAAATGGGTCGCTATACGATTCGCCCAACTCTGAATGGGCTGAACAACTCTTGGTTGAAGATGAGCATTTTTACCGAAAAATCATCTTTTCTGTTGAAGCTCATTTTCACCTCGGTGGCTATGTGAACAAGCAGAATTGTCGTATTTGGGGATTAGAGAATCCGTACGTCGTCATGGAGAAGCCGATGCATCCACAATGAGTGACTGTTTGATGTGGTTTTTGATCCGGCGGCATCATTGGGCCATTTTTCTTCAAAAATGAGCAAGGAGCTGCCATCACTGTCAATGACGAGCGCTACCGTGCCATGCTAAACAAATTCTTGCTTCCCAAATTTGAAGAGGAGGAGACAGACATTTGGTTTCAACAGGGTGGCGCACCTTGCCACATAGCCAACGCTACAATCGATCTTTTGCACTGTCTTCGAAAATCGCGTAATCAGCCGAAATGCTGATGTCAATTGGCCGCCTCTGCGATTTGACTCCGCTGGATTTTTTATGGGGAATCGTCAAGGATGAGTGTTACGCTAACCAGCCAGAAACGATTCAAGAATTAAAACATGAAATCAAAGTTGCCATCGATGAAATACGCGCTCATACAGTGGAAAATGTACTGAAAAATTGGGTTGATAGAATGGGATATTGTGCAGCCAGCCGTGGAAGTCTTTTGAATGAAATTGTATTTCGTGTTTAATGGCAATGTACTACTTTTTCAATAAAGCCATCAACTTTGAAAAATATTCATGCGTTTTTTTTAGAGCCAAATTAAATTCAAAATTTTAAATGGCCTATCCTGTACATATACACATACATACATACGCACATACATAAGTTATATATAAAACATAAGTTTTACAGAAATGTGTTTCAGACAAAAATTGTAGCGTTTAAAAAGATCTATTTAATAATCTTATCAATTTAACCTTAATGCTGCCAATGTCATGTCAAAGTTTGGTACATCGACTTTTTTAAATGGATGCCATATTTTTTATTCCAGAATCTAATATATATAATTTAATAAATATATATAATTTCTTTACAGCTCAAGAGATGATGTCCACCACAATAAGTACGACACAAATGCGTAGCAATTCATTCACTCTGACGGGAAATACACAAATCACGCAAATTATGTCGATGATAGGAACGTCCTGTATGACCGATTGGTTGTCAATACCATGCGCCACAAATCTTGATCGATTACCATCGACATCAATGACATGCGTCGATCGATTGTGTGGTGGTACCTTCAACTCGGAAACCCTGAACTTGAATGGCTCGTCTGTTATTAGTGAGTCTGTTATTATTTTTATTGTGACGCTATCATTCTTCTCTTTCTCTCTCTCCCTCTCTTTCTCTCTCTTTCTCTCTTTCTCTCTCTCTCTCTCTCTCTCTCTCTCTCTCTCTCTCTCTTTCCTCCCCCTTCTCTCTCGCTCTCTGTCTCTTGATGAGTAATCGCACTGATGTGTTTCTTTGCTGCTTTGTATTTTGAAACTTTTTACTGCTGTTCGCTGCCCTTCTAGGGCACTTCTTCTTTTTCCAGACCACTAATCAGAGGCTGCAATTCTTGACACCATGCATTCGACATAAGTACAATCGCCAATACATAACTGAGTTCTATTCAACTTTTCAAAACTGTGATGGGCAGAAATTTCTCTGGCATATTGAACTAGTGATGCCATTTCAGAGATTAATGCCATAAGTCGACCTAGTCATACACATGCGACGCGCCGTGCGACCGGTAATCACATACGCAAGCATGAACCTATGTCCATGTGCGCACGAGTTTCAAGCGTCTTCGGCTAGCTTCGTTCGTGCATTCGGACGCGTTACGAGCGAACGAAACAGCGTTTCTCGGGATTGTGAAACGACTAAAAATGTTTCTTGAGCGTATCGAGGGGCATGGAGATATTTTAGATAACATGTAATTTTTAATAAATTATAGTAATCAGTAATCTTCGCCATGTCGACTGATACCGCCTCGCAGCTCGAATTGAAGCCGTGGAGCGCAAGAACCTCAACTCTGCTATTTTGGAATCGTACCCCTCGATAACCAGTGCGCTCTTGCAAACAATGTTGCTTTGTCTCTCAATATCAGCATGTTGCCAGGTAATATTGTAAAATGTTTGTCTCGAAAAAAGGCGCCCCCGTCTTCTAATCGTTTTTCTAAACGGTTTTCTTTTTCGGCGATTCGTGATCGATGGATAGACACGAAATACCGAGGGTGCCCTCGATGAGTCAGAGATTTTCTTGCATATCGATGTAAACGAGAGACTTCTTGCCGCCATGAGATTCACTTTCCGAGAGACTCGACGTGTGATGAGGGGAGGACGTTTGTGTGCGGCCTGGGTCCGAAACGGATTGATCTTTGCTAATCATTCTTCCACTTCTCCAATCTGCCTGCGCAATTGTGAACGTTTTGAGTCCATCGCCGCCGGAGCTCTTCAACTCCCGACCCTACGGGACTTCTTTGCGACTAAGCTCCCAATCGAGACTTTACGCACATCGAATGTGCTCCCAGCAATGGCACACTTTCCCAATGGTAATCTCGCCGAACAAGGTCCTCACATATCACAATGGCCTTCTGATTTCGTGTCCGAGCGTGGGGCCATTTCTAAGCGCAACAGAATAAATGACGCTCGTCTCCTGGCGTTTCTGCTACCTCTATGTATCTGCTACCTCTATGTATCATCCATGTACTGTCAGTCCCTTCTTTCCCTTCATTGAATTCTTTATCTACTTCTCTGGCAGTGATTTTGATCTGATAGCATTATCAGAGATCTAGTTAAAGTTACATATCCCTACTAGTTAATCTGCCAGTTTTCATTTTATCAGGCTCGATCGTGAAGGGAAGGGAAGGATGGAGACATTGACATTTACGTGCACAGTTCAAAATCCTTGCTTCTTCGCCTAAACGTTTCTGCACTCAGCTCAAATATCTGCTATTTAATATCTCGGTATCTAACAAGCCTTTCCTGTTTGTTTTATTGTATCGTCTTCTCAAGCTAAACACTTTTCTTTTTTTTCAAACAGACTTCGAGAGACTCCTCCCTTTTTTCTCAATGGCGATCATCATGGACGATCTTTATGCGAACCTCAATCGCACAATCTGCGGTGCAGACGTATTACTTAATTTTTGCATTAGCAATCACCTATTCATCGTCCCTTTTAACAGTATTCACCACACGTTCTCCTTTCACTTTTGGATTAACTGCTTCGTCAGTAATCAATTTCTATTCCTGTTCTATAATCACTCTCTCTCCTGCCTCTCCATGCACGATCTCATCGAAGTCACGCTCAACATTTGCATTTCCTTTTTGATATTTCTGTTTTTGAGACTACTTTCAATTTAACATTGATAACTTTCATAACTCTCATTGCTCTCGATGATCCTCTCTCTATTCTTCTTCTTTCATCGAGGAGAGAGTTTCTCTTCGCAATTTGTACTTAATGTACACCTGTCACCTTCACACTTTGCTATCTTTTTGAATTAAGAAGCTCTCTGCTCCTTGACTCAACAAGTTCATTTGTTGTATTTTCTGATAGTAAGAAGAGCATATCGCTCTTGTCCTACCTCTTCGCCTTACTTTTTGCACTGTCCGTAATCAGATAAAGAAGCTTATTGACAACGCTAAAAGTCGTCACTTATTGATCCGGCTTGGGTTCCATTACCGGCTCTGCGCGCTTCTAGTCCAAGCTCCGTTCTCGCTAAACCAAAATCAACTTAATCAAATGATTTTTCTCTTGACCAGTTGAAGTATTGTAAATTCATTATGCTGATAATCTTCAAATCTACTTGTATTTTTCCCTTGGCGATTTTGGGGCTGTTTGGTAGACTGAAAGATGATATCGCGGCGATAAAGTTTTGAGCGTTCAGAAACGGTCTCAGGCTAAACGTCGGAAAAACCAAGACCATACTATTAGGAAGCGTTAGATATATAAACTGTATTGACTATTCTTGTGACATCAAATTTGAACTCTATGGCTCGCCTATCGAGTTTGTTAATCACATAACCGATCTTGGCGTGACCTTAATCAATATCCTGTCATAGACAGAAATGTCAGTATAGTTTCCAATAAAATGAATAGAGACTGAAACACTACAGGAACAGTCTCTAGACCACTGAGAATCTGATTCCTGCCTCATCTTCTCCATTTTTTGTTACAGTGCCCCGATTTTCTCGGACTTATCAACAGAAGCTTCGACTAAGGTGACTGATGAACGATTTATCTTCGATTTGCGCAGGGATAATCATGTTTTTCATTTATACAATTCGCTGGCTCTCTACCGATGATTGAAAAGCTTTTATTTCGTGCTGTCTTACATACTCAATTCAGCGCTTCGATTTCTCCTTACATCGCTTCTTCGTCCCTATTCCAATCCGCGTATACCTTCGTATTCCTTCACTTTCAACTTAGCCATTCCCTCTTGCAGGACATGTACATATCAGCATTCCTTCCTTAGCGCTGGAGCGTTGATGTGAAATTCAGGGCATCATCATCGCTGTGCAAATTCAAGAGTACAAGAGTACTTTTCTACGATCTGCGACAACATAGCGTAGACTAACACGTCTCTCGCAAAATTCTTTATAATTTTTTTATCCCGCTATTTTTTTTTTAAACAAATTTTTTCTTCTCTCTACATGTAAAATATAATTTGTATTTACTAATTCACAATCTCTTGTTATATTTCTATGCTGAAATACTCTATACATTCAAATTTTCTCAAATACTTTTCTCTGAACTCTGTCGATGTAAAACAACTCTTACTCACAGTAACTTTAATCTATATATGTCAACTATTGATTACCGATTCAGATCAAAACTGATTCAATTCCATTCTCTGTACAACAGTACAGAGAAGTATAAGTAGTAAGTTAAACAGTGTTTAATTCTGCTCTTAGAAAGCATGTCGTAGAGTAGCAATAAATGCTTTTCTTTCTCTCCTCTCCCCCCGCTCACGTGAGTATACATTAACATGTCTCTTTGTTGCTCAATTTCTTATGTCATTTTCTGCCGTTTGTTGTCCCTCAGAGCCTTCTATTTCTAGATTTCTGTTAAGGACTATTTCACTTGACTCCCTTCATCACTCATTGCTCCCTTCATCGTGAGTATCATTTTTGATTTTTTGGAGTATTATTGTTTTTTTTTGGTTCTGCCTCTTGGAATCTCTGTAGATCGCTAACTGCTGTCGTCAGATCGCGCACGCACTTACAGCCATATATTGGCAATATTTACATCTATTGTCATCTGCTGTCAACGACCCGCTTTTGGCTGTATGAATATTGGTGAGTTTGTTGCCGTACTAATCGAAATCTTCTCATCGCTTCGCTGTCTATTCGCTATACTCTTACGATGATACTTTCCTGCGGATACTAGAAGAGCCGCTATGATTGCAGAGAGGTCCAAGGACCTCGCAGATCGAAGTATACTTCTGCTATTTCTCAGATTCCCTGATGCCGACAATACTTTTCTGACCGAATCAAATACTCTCAGGGGAGTCATCTCTACACTTTTGCTCAAACATCGAAAAACGTAGCTACAAAATTTAACATCTATCAAAGCAGCTATCTATTCTCGAGGCCATTGAACGCTACGCTGCTCCTTGAATAATTTCGCCGTTAAATCAGATACGTTAGCTTCTACTGTATTACAGGAGCTTAAGAATGAGCAATGTAAACTCGATTATCGTATTAAGGAACAAACTTCTGGTTCGAATTTGGAGAATTACGTATTGAAGCTTAGCTTGAGGCTCTCGAGCGGGCGAAGCTTAGTTCTGAGCTCATTCTGTTTGGGGTAAAGGTACTCCTCAAAAAATTCAAAAGCAATCGCTTGCTTCTACACTAAATGTCTAGGTCTTTTCAGATGATATCTTTGATTGCTTCCATATTTTGTTCAGAGGCTATCGTCCTCAGTCATTAGTTGTTTATCCTCCTGCGAGATCCGTAATCATTGGATTGATGGGAAGCAAGGATCCTCTCGAGGGACCGGAAGTCTCGACATTGCTAGCTGGCTCAAAAATCAATATTAACGAAAGACTGTCTACTCCCACGCGACAGATCTTTAGTGAAGCGAGATGCGGAAAGATTATACATTATGGATGGATCACAACGGCTTTATCTATGTAAAACGTCATTCCACTACCTCGTCGAATCGTCTGCATCATCGAACCATCTTGTGGCCACTGCGGGCGCTCCGTAGCCAAGTTTCAGTCAGCTGTACAATGCCCCACATCACCTGTAGGGTATGAACCCAACTGCGATGCCTGCCAATGGCTCTTCTCAGCACCTACAGACTTTTCATTTTCTTTAAACATCACAATTATTGCTTCCGATATTACAGACAAACGGCTATTCAAATCAACGTCCTCTAAAAAACGTAACACCGGACTTGCCATTTCCAAGCAGTCTCTTGAAAGAAATGTTTGATGCTCATTGCCACTACCTTGTCCGAATCCCGTAGACCTGCGACGGTTTAAGACTCATATTCCGGACAGTTTTGTCAATTTATCGGATTACCAATTTATTGGACATGATAGAATGAAAAAGGGGGAGGAGGCATTGGCTTATATCTACGTAATGGTATTGTGGCAAAAATCCTTGTTTATACTGCGCTCAGCCGGAATATATGTTGCTCGGTAGCTAATTGTTAACTTTTTCTGTTTGCTGTAGTTTGTGTTTACCGCCCCACCTCCCCTCCTCCTTTCCTAAGCTTGAACATCTTTCTTTGCTGTAAGCTGATTTTGATATTCTCTTATTTCCTGTAACCATTGACTTTAATACAAATCTTGTTCTCGATATAGACTTCTTGCTTGATTTTTGTTCAAGTAATCACCTCTTTCTAATTATTTTTAAAAACATCTATTATGCCTCCTCTTCACATTTTCAGATAGATCACTGCTTCATTAGCGAACGATCATTATTGTTATTAATATAAAATATCAATATAAAAATAAAGAGCTTTAAATAATAATCATTTACAGGATATAAAGCCAATACTTGCTTTTACAGTACTGCTCGCAGTACTTGTTGCGTAAAAGTATTTTATATATCCTTAAAAAAATTACATGAATTTGATATTCAAATCGATTTCCTTAAAATCTTGACATGTTTCGGCTACTTGTTCGAGTTCTCTTCAAAAATATAAATCAAATTACAGATGAAACTCTTCTCAAAATAGAACATTTTTTGATAAGTTGTTTCTAGAATCATTATAGCTGCTCATAACGGTTGGAAGACCATGTAGAGAATCTGAATAAGCTGATGAAAATTATAGCAGTTCTTTTCCTTTCAAATATTTAGCAGATCAAATACTTATTCTGATAAAAACTTATCGACAGTTTTCAATCGATCGAACATAATGGACATATACAATAAAAAGACTTCAAGTCAGTCAGTGTACAATAAACATATAAAATTAATACAGTAACTACAATAAAATAATGAAAATAATGTCAAAATAATAAAATGTATAATAATAAATTATGTCTATTATGGTATTTAATCAGAGAATAAAAATATTATTGAGAGTACAAATAAGTTTCTGCTATTTGCAAAAGACGGCGCCACTAATAAACTATAGTTAAAATTGTTATATTGTTTGTATGTAAAACGGCATATTGTAAAATTGGACATCCGGCAACACCATAATCTTGAAATATTAGCGAGTTTGTATCAGCATCATATATTTTTTTTGTACGAAAATGTCGAATTTTGAACCGAATAAGCGGGAACTTTTGATTTACTTCTTTAATTTGAAGAAATCAGCTGAGGCTCATAGATTGCTTGTAGAAGCAATGGCTGCCTTAAGTGAGAGAAGTTGTCGTGAGTGGTTTCAAAAGTTTAAGAACGAATTTGACGTCGAAGACAAAGAACGTAGCGGAAGGCCGAAAGTGTACGAAGACGCGGAATTGGAAGCATTATTGAATGAAGATTCATGCCAAACGCAAAAAGAATTTGCATTTACATTAGGAGTGACTCAACAAACAATTTCATATCGTTTGAAATCATTAGGAATGATTCAAAAGCAAGGGAATTGGGTTCCATATGAACTGAATCCGAGAACGCCGATTTTTCACATGTAAAATGCTGCTTCCCAGGCATAAACGAAAGGGTTTTTTGCATCGTATAGTCACTGATGGTGAAAAATGGATCCACTACGAACCCAAAAAAGAGGAAATCATGGGGACCATCTGGCCATGCTTCAACATCGACAGCCAAGCCGAATATTCATGGAAAAAAACTCATGTTGTGTATTTGGGATCAATTTGGTGTCGTGTATTATGAGTTGCTCAAACCGAACGAGATCATTAGTGGGGCTCTCTACCGAACACAATTGATGAGATTGAGCCGAGGAAAAGGAAAAACGCGCCCACTACTCCAGGCATGACAAAATTATTCTCCTGCATGATAATGCTCGACCACATGTTGCGGCGCCAGTTAAAACCTACTTAGAAACACTCAAATGGGAAGTTCTACCCCACCCGCCATATTCTCCAGACATTGCTCCTTCCAACTTGTTCCGATCGATGACGCATGGCCTGTCTGAGCAGCACTTCACATCATATGAAGATACCAAAAATTGTATCGATGATTGGATAACCTCAAAAGATGAAGCGTTCTTCTGACGCGGTACCACATGCTATCAGAAAGATGGGAAAAAGTAGTGGCTAGCGTAGTAGATGGCCATTACTTTGAATAAAACATTATGTACTATTCTTTCACAATAAATGTTTAATTTTTGATAAAAAGCGGCGGAAACTTATTTGTACTTCCAATTATTATAAATTATATAAAATTATACAATATGTAAAATTATATAAAATTATATATAGTATAAAATATATACTGATTAATTCTTTTTCTACATTTTTTTTATTTATGTCTCAAATTACATTTTAAATTATATTCAGTAATAATAAAAGAAATATTTTTAGCAATAGTTGCTAATACGCTGCGCTGCAACATTACAGCGCAATCTTGCTGAAGGTGAACATTTTTATGATGCTATGACTTTGCAACAAATACATTGCGCAATCTATCTGCAATATTACAATAGTGCAATGAGATATATCTGCAATCATTTTGTAATCTTTCTGTATGAATAAAGATTCAATTTGTGATTCAATTTGTTCAATATTGTTTCAACGTTACAACAACATTAACAATGTAGAAGAATCAATATAGATACAACATTGATAAAACATTGACACTTCAATATTGTAATATTTCAACAATATTCAACATTGCAACATTTCAGCAACATTCTTTCAACGTTTTGTACTGTATGGGTTTAATTTGGTGCTTAATCAGGCATCCTGTTAAAAAGATGTTAATGGAAAAACTGTAAATAAATTTATTGTGAAAAATATTACCTCAGAAAATATTTAAAAATAAAGCTTGAATCATTGTTGTATATTGTATATTGTATATTGTTTTTATTAACGTTTAAATCAGTGCTCGCAAAGATTTGCACATTTCAGGTTGATTCCAGAAAGCAACTCCCATAACCGCTTGAGGTTCGGTGACTGTGCCGCTCTGGTTCAGGAGTGTCCCTATACCAGAAATATACTGGGAGTGCACTTTCCGTCAACTTATTATTGAAACATGTTTTTTATTAAATAATTTATTTCTATTAACATAAAAATTTCTGTTGTTAATTTATTAATTGTTTCTTAATGATATTATATATTTATATCTTATATTATATACTTATACTTATCTTAACGTAGTTTTCTAATACATTACATAATTATGATAACGTACATTTCGACAAGATCTTTTTACATTACCTGTGAGGTATTATTGTAAAATGCGTTTTTTAAAATATGATTTCCCCAGTAAGCCTATTCCACAAAAAGAAGAATCGAAAAGAAGAATTATATAAAAGAAAAATTATATAATACGATATATAAACATATAATACGATATATAATTTTGTTATCAAGCACATTCGAGTATTTGATTCTTCTTTTTGTGGAATAAGTCTACTGGAGAAATCACATTAAAAAAGAAACGCATCTTACAATAATACATGGGTATGAAAAGTTATTGTTGAAATGTACGTTATCATAATTAAATATGTAATGTATTAGAAAACGTTAAGATATAAGTATATCACTAAAGAACAATAACACAAATTAATTAAAAACAACATAGAAAATTTTATGTTAATAGAAATAAATTATTTAATAAAAAACATGTTTCAATAATAATTTGGCGAAAGATACGCTCCCAGTATATTTCTAATAGAGGGACGATTTTTGATCCAGAGCGTCATATGAATGCTCGGCTCGAGTCTTGAGCGAGGGTTCGCTCATCGGAATCAGCCCGAAATGTACAAATCTTTGCGAGCACTGATTTAAACTATAAAAAATATTGCAAAATTACACTTTTTAGACTGATTTTATTTCAACACATATTTTAAATTGATTTTTAAAAAGTAATGGAAAAGTAATGAATATTAACTTTTTATGTATTTATGATAATGAATTACTTTTAAAAATCAGTAATGGTAACTTGATACTATTTTATTCGGTAACGAGTAATTACAATTAATTTGTACTTTTAAAAAGGAACTTTCCATTCCCTATTCTATTTACTCTTCTGAGTCTTTATTAGGCACATATACATGTAATTTAAAGTTGAATATAAATCTTTTTTCTTAATCTTTCAATCTTCTAGTTCTGTAAATTCAGTATTGTTCGTTCACAGATGGTGCATATTATGAAAAGCTATAAAACTTTTGTATTATGAAACCGTCTATGTTCTGTCAACCGACAGAACATAGATCTATGAGTCGAAAAATGTCAGTTTATAAATATAAACTATATTTTTCGATTTAGTATTATATAAAGTAAACTTCATCACTCCTAATTTTGTGTTCATACATCAATCCTATAAAAGGATTTTTTATTCCGTTTTAGTAAATTCGAAGATTTTTATAGCTGTAATGTATCAATAATTTTGTCCCAGCATTCTCTTAATTCCCTTAATTAGTCTGCTACTATAAATCTGGTCTTGAAAGATTTTCAGAATTAGAATTATAAATATTGAAATATCTGTAAATGATGATTTTATATCCCCTTCTTCTTGAATTACTTTTTCAGGCACCGTAAAGCCATTCAGATTAATTTTTCATACGGACAGCATCGAGGGACCCAATGATGTTGGAAATAGAGGCTTCTGTCTTAATTATGTGCAACAACCATGCACGAATAAATTAAGATAAATATCATTTCGATAAGTATAATTAAATGACTAAAGCGTAAGTTTCGGAATTCTAATTTTTATTTCAAAAACTTTGATACATATTTTTTGTTACCATGTCAATATATAAGAATTCGCTTAAAAAGCAACTGATAAATTAATTTAATATGAATGCCGTTATGTGTAAATCAAAAAATACGTGAATCTTTCTCATAAATACAAATAATCGTTTATATTCTTATTATTTACATTTCTACACATTAGAAAGAGCAAATCTGAAAAAACTCACCTTTCCTTTACTTTTAATTATTATTGTGTACGATGTAAAATCAATGATGAAATACATTAATCGATAAAACATTGGAAACGGTAAACATCATTGTCATAGAAATTATTACTACTATGATTAATTGATTAATTATGTAGATTAATAGCCCGTAGAATATTACAATTACAATATTTATAATAGTCACTCTGATTGATGATTGATTAAAGGAGAAAAAGAAATATAATATTCTTAGATCAATGCTATAAGTGTATGTATTTATATATTTCATAAAAGTGGAGTCAATTTTCTTCATCTTACTTTTAAAAAGCAAACTCCATATACAATAGAATAACGAAACGCACTTATACGCGCAATGCGCGCACGTATACATGTATGTATATATATATATATAT